CCCCACCTACACTCACCTTTACTGGCCCCATCCCCGCCTCTTCGACCTGTTTGTTTCCTCTCCACCTATCCTCTCCTCTATCCATCTTCTATCCGCCTCCCACTCTCTCCCTATTTATTTCAGAGCCCCCTTCCCCTCCCCCTTTTCTGGTGAAGGGTCTAGGCCCGAAACGTCAGCCTCTCTGCTCCTATGATGCTGCTTGGCCTGCTATGTTCATCCAGCTCTACACCTTGTTGTCTTGCTTTTATTCTGCTTACCAAAGTGCATGACCTCACACTTTCCCACGTTGTACTCCATCTGCCCCTTCTTTGCCCACTCTCCTAACCTGTCCAAATCCTTCTGCAGCCTCCCTGCCTCCTCAATACTACCAGACCCTCCACCTATCTTTGTATCATCTGCAAACTTAGCCAGAATGCCCAGAGTTCCTTCATCTGGATCATTAATGTATAAAGTGAAAAGTTGTGGTCCCAACACTGGCCCTTGCGGAACACCACTTGTCACCGACTGCCATCATACATCGTTGTGATACAACTGAACAAATCAGGAGCTATGCAAAGGCTAATCAACCACACTGGGGAGGGAGGCTAGTCTCACATTGAGGCCAGTTGGGCTCTTGTTCTTTCTTGGGCAGCACAGTTGCTTAGTGGTCAGCACTGCTGCCTAACAGCGCCAGGGACCCGGGTTCAATTCCACCCTTGGGTGACTGTGTGGAGTTTACACATTCTCTCTGTACCTGCATGGGTCTTCTCTGGGTGCTCTGATTTCCTCCCAAAGTCCAAAGATGCGCAGGTTAGTGGTTTGACCATGCTAAATTGCCCCAAAGTGTTCAGGGATGTGCAGGCTAGGTGGGTTAGCGGTGGGAAATGTGGGGTTACAAGGAAGGGGTGGTCTGGGTGGGATGCTCAAATGACCTGCTTCTGTACTGTAGGGATTCTAAAGGATGTGAATGAAACAATTGGGCTTTTAATAACAAGCCAACAGTTTCATGGTCGCTTGGAAATAGTAAGAACTGCTGATGCTGGAGTTAGAGATAACATAGTGTGGAGCTGGAGGAACATAGCAGGCCAGGCAGCATTAGAGGAGCAGGAAAGTTGACATTTCAGATTAGGACCCTTCCTCAGGACTGGAAAGGGGGAAGGGAACTGGGAAATAGAGGGAGGAAGGTTGGGGCTGGGGAAGGTAGGTGGGATGGCAATGGAGGGTGCATGTAGGAGTATTAGGGATTGGTCAGTGGGAAGGGTGGGGTGGAGAGGTGGGGAGAGAAGATGGACAGGTTGTGTCAGGTCAAGCATGCAGGGATGAGAGGGAGGGTTGGATATGGGCTGAGGCCAGGGGTGTGGGGAGATTTTAAAACTGGTGAATTCTATATTCAGGTCATTGGGGTGTAGGGTCCCAAGGCGGAATATGAGGTGCTGCTCCTCCAGTTTGCGTGTGGCGTCATTGTGGCACTGGAGGAGGCCCAGGATGGACATGTCTCCCAGAGAGGGGGAGTTAAAATGGTGAGCAACAGGAAGGTGTTGTTGATTATTGCGCACAGAGCGCAGATAATCTACGAATCTGTCACTGACTCTGCGCTTGGTCTCACCGATGTAGAGTAGACCACATCAGGAGCAACAGATACAGTAGACCAGGTTGGAGGATGTACAGGTCAACCCCTGTCTGAATTGGAAAGTTTGCTTTGGGCCTTGAATGGGGGTAAGGGGGGAGGTGTAGGGGCAGGCGTATCACACCCCCTGCAGTTGCAGGGAAAGTGCCGGGGGCAGTGGGGTTAGTGGGGAGTGTGGGGCGGACAAGGGAGTTGTGGAGTGAGCGGTCCCTACGAAAGGCAAATAGAGGTGGGGAGGCAAATCTCTCTTTGAGATTGATGGGGTCGGATTGTAGGTGGTGGAAATGGTGGAGGATGATGCTCTCGATGCAGATGTTGGTGGGGTGGTATGCTCGCTCTTGCTGATACTACCCTGTTATACCCAGAACCCCATTTGGCTCAGAGGGAACGTTCATAGAACTCTGGAAAGGGTTGCCCTCACTCGCTCTTATTTCTTTCACTCTGACCCCTTCCTCTACCCATCCACCCCCACAACATCACCCCCATGGCTGGAAATAGACCTGTGATGCTACATTCAGTGGAATAGCCCACCAATCCCTGCCAGGCTCATGCAAGGTCAATTACGCTGGGTGAATGCCATCAATACAAAGGGGATAATTCACTGTCTTACCCAGTAGGGGAACCTGTGCTTGAAGAAACTATGAAGTAGAGATGGGGTTACCACTGGTGTAGCTGATCCTCAGATGCAATTTACTCCAGAGTGAGGCTCTCATGGGGAGCACAGTGGATTAGAAACTTACCTTATAATAAAATTTGGCTGCGGATGGGGTAATGATGAGGAAACATAGGGTCTACAACACTCTTGGAACATTCCAGTGAATTCAACGATGAAAAATTCATTCCTTAATTCCCTTACAGCCATGTCTCACGCATCAAACAACTCAAAAACTTGATGCCTCAACCAACCTAGTCTGACTGCTTCCCTCTGACAACTTGCTGTGGACATCACATTGCCAATATTATAACTGTGACCATGTTTCAAAAGTGTTTCTGTGGCTGTGAACCCTTGAGAAGTCCTGAGCTTGGGAAAGGCATATCTAGAAATGCAGGTTTGCAATTCTAGAGGTGGTATTGGTCACAATTGTGTGTTTATGGTTCATTATTTTGGTCTTTGCCATACGTGTTGTCAATCAGATGGAAATCACTCAGATAATTTGCCTGTTCTTGTGTGCTTACAGGAAACCTGTGTCGATGTACAGGGTACAGAGCCATCCTCGAGGGCTTCAGCACCTTTGCTAAAGTAAGGGAATTCAAATTGCTGTGAGTACGTTTTCCTGACAGCTTCCTGTGCAGTGAGACTGTGCAGCCAAAACACGAAGCACAAAACCATGTGAATGCGAAAGAGAAAATGTAGTCACATCACTGACTGGTATAGGTTTCATAGAATCATAGTACAGAAGAGACACTTTGGCCCATCAGGTCTGTACTACCAAAACTACGCTAAATTTACACCAGTCCATAGCCTGCTTAGCCAGTATAGTGTAAAGATTGTATTAAACTATAGCTTAACTACTTTAATATGACTATAAAATCATTATTGTGGGATATTTCTACATTTGAAAGCTAAGTAATATTAATCAATAAAATAAATAGTATGAATATCAATAAAACACAATAAGGGTAGTGGTCTTCTGGCTTGTGGCTGTAGTATATGGGAGTCAGTGGATAACAGTGTGATTTACAATAACATCATCTGTGGTAAGGGGAATTTGAGGAACTTTGCTCCAATTTGACGAGCTGGATTCTGAGATACAGGTGCATCATAGGCACTCAAGGTTTTAGAAGCCTAAATTGGATCAGTTCAACTTCATTGAGCTCGCCCAATTAGAAGTGGCAAATGTTCCCCATCAAGATAAATAGTTCAGATGTTTCAAGTTCGACAGAGATATAGCATCAGGCAACTCTTGGACTCTGAATAATATCCTTATGTTAAGTATGAGCCAGCAAAATAAGGTTGCTGAAATAACTAAAGACAATAAGTTTTATTTCTCGGAAACACAAGACAGATGTGAAAATGGATCTTAAATCCATCTCAAATTAAGACAACGTCCTCACTCGAGAAAAACACCTCGGATTTTTCATTCTGACAGAAGATCCCTGGCTAACTTTCCTTGAAAATGCACATTCGTGCTTCAGATTGATCTGAGCTTCTCACACTGATAGAACATAGAACATAGAACAGCACAGCACAGGCCCTTCAGCCCACAATTTTGTGCTGACCTAGTATCCTACTAAGATCAATCTACCCTGCATACCCTACATTTTACTATCCTGATGCAGGCCATGCCTCACTGCTCCCAGATTGTCTGGAGAACTCTTGACAATCACAGTACTCAGAATCTTTAGTTTGCAGCTCCTTTGAGATTAACTTCCCTTAATTAAAAATTTGCTGTTGAAATGTAATCTGCTAATAATGTGTTGAATGGTTAATCCAATTGAATCTTTGCTTTAATTTGCTTTAAACATGAAGTCTTTTAAGTTGCCTACCCTAGCTTTAGAATGGACAGTCTCTCTTTTGTCAATGTGTTTTGTTTCTTAATGCAAGGACAGTGTTAGCTCAGAAGAAAGTGAAGGCACATTGTTCTTTTGCTTTCTTAAGGTGTGGACAAGCTCCATTTTCAAAAAAGTTAATAAGACGTATCTATTCAATTTAATAAAAATAAGAGCCTTTATTCAATATCGATTAATAATTACCTACTGTTTAATTATTGTATAATTACAGTGCTTCTTCTAATCCATCATTAGTTGATAGCTTTTCACTCATAATTCAGTTTGTCAGTGTCTTCAATTTGTTAGAGGAGTAGCACAAAAATGGACACTTTCCCATTTTTTTTGGCTATGTACCAATTCTGAAATACCTCTAAAAGTGACCGTCCTTAAATGTTAAATCCGAAATCTAAATGCTCAGCTTCATTTACTACGCTATGTTGCACGAGGCAGTGACATGCCTCAGGTTAGCTCCATCAGAATTAGTCAGTGATCAGGGACGGGAAGGTGTGACGGACAGAAAGTAGGAACAAAGGGGCTTCCGTTCTTGCATTTTTCCAGTGTTTCGACGTCCTGGCAGTGCGTGATTGAGACCAGGGGTTACAGGGAGGGTGAGCAAACTCACCATGGTGGTGTGATGCTGGGAGCTATTTGAGTTGGCTGGTGTAAAACGGAAGATGCTTGTTTCAGGGAACTCGAAAGGGGCAGTGTGTTATTTGCTCCAGGGGGCAGGCTAAGGACATCTCCTCAAGACTGGAGATAAATTTGGAGTAGGTGGGGAAACGGCCAGTTGTCATTGTTGCCGTGGGTAACACGGACATAGGGAAGGCTAAGGAAGAGATTCTTCTGAGGGAGAATGAGCAGCTGAGGGCAAGATGAAGAAACAGTTAAATTAAGTTAAATCTTTTATAAGTGATTTGGGTGTGAACGTAGGAGTTATGGTTCGTAAGTTTGCAGATGACAGCAAACCTGGTGATGTCGTGGACAGCGAAGAAGGTTACCTCAGTGTACAACAGAAACCCTGATCAGATGGCCCAATGGGCCAAGGAACGGCAGATGGAGTTTAATTTAGAAAAATGTGAGGTGCTGCATTTTGGAAAGTTAATGGTAAGATCCTGCAGAGTGTTGCCGAGCAAAGTGATCTAGGGGTGCAGGTGCATAGGTCCTTGAAAGTGGAGTTGTAGGTAGACAAGGTAGTGAAGAAGACCTCTGGTAAGCATGCCTTTATTGGTCAGTGCATCGAGTCTAGGGGTTGGAACATGATGCTGTGGCTGTACAGGACATTGGTTAGGCCACTTTTGGAATACTGCGTTCAATTCTAGTCTCTGTGCTATAGGAAAGATGTTGTTTAACTTGAAACGGTACAAATGTTGCCAGGGTTGGAGGGTTTGATCTACAGGTAGAGGATAAATAGGCTGGGGCTTTTTCCCTGGAGAGTTGGAGGCTGAGGAGTGACCTTGTGACCTTATGGAAGTTTCTAAAATCATGAGGGGCCTGGATAGGGTGAATAGCCAAGGTCTTTTTCCTAGGTTGGGGGAGTCCAAAACTAGAGGGCATGGGTTTAAGGAAGAGGGGAGAGGTTTAAAAGAGACCTGAGGGGCAACATTTTATGCAAAGGATGGTACGTATATGGAGGAAGCTGTCAGAAGAGGTGGTGGAGGTGGGTACAATTACAACATTTAAAAGACATCTGGATTGGTATATGAATAGGAAGGGTTCAGAGGGCCAAATGCTGGCAAATAGGACTAGATCAATTGACTAGATATCTGGTTGACATGGATGGTTTGGACCAAAGGATCTATTTCCATTGTGTATAACTCTCTGACTCTATGACTGTGGATGACTGCCCATGTTAAAAGCCAAATGGCATAGGGTAAATAAATTCAGGGTGGAATATGTGGCTCAAAGATTGAGGAAGGAAGAATGAGTTGGGATTCCCAAGCACTGGCGCGCATACTGGGGCAAGAGGGAATTGTACTGTTGAGACAGTCTTCACCACATCTTGCTGGCACCAGTTTTCTGGGATATAGCATATCTGGGTTGTGGTGAAGGATTTAAACTGAATAATGCCGGGTGAATGTTCACAAGAGTGGAGTTTGGAAAAATGACAGAATAAGGGCAATGCAATAGTGCAGGGTAATGATAATCAGAGTATGATAATAAGGGACAGAACATCCAAACAGAAGTGTACACTAAAAATTATGATCAGATTAGAATAAATTTCCTTTAAAACAACAGATTTGGAGGAGGGTTCACAGGGATGGAGATTTAGAAATTCAAAAATGAAAGTTAAGGCAGTGAAAACATATATAAATGCCAGAAAATACAAGTTGCGTGAGGTAGGATTGGACATTAAAGATAACCGTGCATCAGTGAATAAGCAGGAAATAGTCATAAAAACATAAAATTGAAATCACTTTATCTGAATGCATGGAACATCTGTCATAAAATAGGTAATAGACATAAATATTTCAAATCTAATCTCCATTCAGAGACATGGTTACAAGGGAACAAAGGTTGGGAAGTAACTACTTGGAGTTACACAACATTTTGAAGAGCCAGATAAAATAGAGAAGGAGGATGAGTGGCCTTGATAATAAATGATCAAACAAAGTAATCTTGACTCAGGGAATCAGAAAGTGAAATCAGTATGGAGAGATTAGGAGTAGCAAGGGTCAGAAAATGCTGATGGGAATAGTTTATAGGCCCCCTAACTGTAATTTTAGCATTGCATGAATCATTAAGCAAGAAATAAAAGCGAAATGCTGCAAATGCTGGAAATCTGAAACAAGCCTGGATAATTGCTGGAGAAACTCAACAGGTCTGGTAGCATCTATGGAGAGACATAAATATCAGCGCCTATAACAAAGGCAAGTAATATTGGTGGTGGCATTATATAGACATGAACAATTAAATTGACAAAGGTAATCTAGAGGCGAGTTTGTAGAAAATTATCCTGATCATGTCTTGGGAAAATACCTTATTGAACCAACAAGGAGTTAAACTAAGAGCTAGCAAGAACTGCCGATGCTGGAGTCAGAGACAACACAGTGTGGAGCTGGAGGAACACAGCAGGTCAGGCAGCATCAGAGGAGTAGGAAAGTTTTTGGGTCGGGACCTTCTTCAGAAACAAAAAACACTTTGGATCTCTCTTATGTAGCAAGGCATTCAATAAAGTGAGACTTTAAAAATGTTAGTAAGCAAATCAAGTCTAATGGGATTGAGGGTGAAATACTAACATAGATAGAGGACTGGCTAATGGGCAACAAGTAGAGAGTAAGGATAAATGTGACATTTTGAAGGTGGCCCATGATGATTGGAGTGCTGCAATGATCAGTGCTGGGGCCTCAGCTTTTTACACCCTAAATCAATGACTTAAACAGAGAGATAGAGAGTAATGCATCAAAGTTTGCTGATAGTTGGGAATGCAAGCAATGAGGAAAACACAAGATATAAACAGATGAGGTGAATTGGCAACAAAATGACAGAGGAAGTATAAAATAGAGAGGTGGCAAGTTATTCACTTTGGTCATATTGATAGAAAAACAGAATTTTTTGTTTAAAAGTCTGAAACTTGCAAATATACAAGGAACACAACAAATTAGCATGTAGGTCTGGTGAGCATGAGGAAAGCAAATAAGTTATTGGTGTTTAGAACATAGAACATAGAACATAGAACATAGAACAGTACAGCACAGTACTGACCCTTCGGCCCACGATGTTGTGCTGAACTTTTATCCAAATCCTAAGGTC